AATTAAATTAGGGTGTGCCAATATTGTTTTTAATACAAAGAAGCATACTAGAGAAACTTAAGCGCACAATTATATTTGTTTATTCCCAATTTCAACAATTACATTCTTTTATCAATATTATATATATTCATATTTATTTTTTTGCCGCCTCCAGCTGTAAAAAAATTTAATTTTTTCATGCTTTCAGACAATTTGCTTTTGCCTCGTTGAGAGGCGAAAATTTGTGATATTTTTAGAAAAAGTCGAGCACATGTTTCAAAATATCAAAAAGCGAGCAACAAAATTGAGGAAGAAGAAAAAAAAAACTGAAATATAAAAATAAAAATCAAGAAGCAGCAGCCACACAAATTTTAATAGAAAACAAAATGTTTATGTGCCCCAAAGACAGAGACCAGACAATGCCGCGCATTGAAATTAACCGAATGCAATTCCAAAGTATATTCGAGTTTCCAGAAGGAAAGAAACGAATATTTCAAAACAAAATAAAAACCAGAAAGTGAGCATATCTTTGGCACGCCGACGCTTTAATACCCTCGCTACCGTTTTGCAGCTAGTTTGGTCTAGTTATCTTTAGAAACAAAAAGGTTTCCATTCAAGAACCTTCTTTTCAGCCGATCTTTCCTATGGCAACTAAATGATATAATGCGATGTACATAAGTTTTGATATATATATGAGGAGTATAGTAAAACTTTTTTTCGTTTCCCATTTCAATATATATACATATAAACACAACCCAAAGTTGACAAATTCTAATAACAAAATGTTGTTACTTCCTTCAACTTGAACTATAACCAAAGCAAAGACGAACTTTTGATGGTATCACAATTCCCCGCTCCAATTAATTTAAAACTTTAATTAAAACTTAAATTTGATTGGGAAATATGAGAAAAGATTGCACTCGAACACGGAGCATAATAAGTATTGGAATCGGCGTACAACTAACTCAACTTCTGCAATATCTTTTTCGCCATAAGACTTTCGTTATACTCAAACTGAGTTGAAATGAAAAATCATGCGCTTTCATGAGTGAATTACGAAAGACAATTGAAAAATCATAAAACAACATTTATAGCATTTTAGTTAAATCGAACTCATTTTGTTCAAGTTGTGCAATTACTTTTGTTTCTTTCATTTTTATGTTTTTCGCGCAGTTGTTCGCATTTGGAGTGTAATTGTTGTGTAAGTGCAAGTTGCAAAAGAAAATTCAATTAAATTTCGTACGCTTTTTCTTTAAGCTAGTTACGTTCCACATAGTTGAACAACTCGCAAGGATATGTAAGATCAATGAATGGTTATATCTAAAGCGGTTTGATGTGAATATGTACTGCGCAGAGTCTCGATTGTTACTGCTTGTTATTGTGGATTTAATTAACTAATAAAAGCATTTATTTTAACATTTTGAAAATTTGATTGCCAAATACATTATATTCGCCGTAATACTTATTTCAAAGCCCCATTGAAATGCGAATGTAGTCAAAACTAAGAGTATTATTTTATCAATCGATTTATCGAAGCTAACGATTGATTATCGTATTGATTTACTGTTTAATATTATCGGTACTATTAAAACTAATCGATATTCATTTAGGTGCAGTTCTTACACACAACTTCGTGTCACATCACGATAAATGCTCAGAAATAAAATCGTATCTATTCGATGAGCCTGGACCAAATGTTGTATGTAAGTGTTGTAAGACACACCAGTTGAGTGCTGTAATGTGACGCAGCTAGTGCTGCGAATCGAAACAAAAAACAATTAGGTGCAGACGAATTTCATTTTGCGAATGGAAAATGTTTGAACTGACATATACTTAAAATTACTTTAATAATTAATATTAATACTCAATTAATTAGTAACTAAAGTGCTGTAAAGCGCGACTAACATCAAAATAATGCATCATAGTCGTTCAAGTAATATTTTATAGTTGCTTTGCTAAAGTTTATCCTCTAGGTTTATCTCGAAGTGATCTGCTGCCTTTTAAGCTCGAAGCCACAAAATCCCGCTGCTGAACTCTGAACTCCTTTTGGCAGTCAAAGTATTTGGCGCATCATTCAAATCGCAATTTCAAATGTCGTCGTTTGGCACTTGAAAAGCTCACAAAATTTGTCGTGAGTGACTTTCAAGTTTGTTTGAGGGCGGCGAAGACAAAACGAATGAAGTAAAATTTGTATGAAAAGCTTCATACTACAGCTATTGATATTTATTTATTGTTGTTAAAGAGGGGTGTCGGGGGGGGCGCAAAAAGGCCACAAATGCGAATGCTGGGCAATATACCATATTTTTTTGTTTTCTGTGAGAGTTTGGCATGACTTTTTGGGCGAAAAATCGAATCGATTAGTCATGCCAAGTCCTCAGACTTGAGAGTTTTGTTGGTCTCTCGGCCTCACCTCTCACATTTTAGTTAAGTTGAGTTGTGTGTGTGTTTTTTTTTTCAGTTTTTGTTCAGTTTTGGGGTTCATTTTGTGTTTGGCTTTTTTGTTTAAGACCGAATGACTTGTCAGTGGCGTTCGAAAAGACGAATATCGGCATTCAACAGAGACAGAGCAATTTATGTGGCATTTTCCAAGCGATTTCGTTGGCTCATTTATTAAGTTTTGACAGCTTTTGAGTGAGGGGCAGCAAAGAAAAAAAAAACAATAAAACAGAAACAAATATGAATGGAAAGCGTCAAATAAAGCAAATGCTTCCAACTTTTGCTTTCTTTTTGAGGAGCTAATTCAATCCAAAGGAATGTAAACAGAATCAATTACAGCATATTATAATAAAATAGGAAAAGATGAAAATAAATGAAAACTGTAACCGAAAACCCAAAACAACTGGTTGGGAGTGAGAAGTACAACTCGAAAAACACATAAATTTCATGTTTACGACCCAAAAGTAACGCCAGAGGCCACACGAGAATCGGAATCGGAATCCGAATCCAAATCAGAACCAGAAACTGAGCGCGAGCTCGAACTCGACGACAGAGGCCGCCGGCTTGAAAAAATAAAACGTGACTTTTCATAACAAAAAACAAAACAGTAAAAACAAACAACAATGCGGAATATCTCGCGCTTGAATCTCGCAAAGAGAGCGCAAAAATAATTTCAAAAATAAATAAATAAATAACAAATAAAAAAGGTAGGGAAAACGAGTGCGTAGCCTGGGCCTTGCCCGGCATTACTTAGAGCTATACAAATAGACGAATTTGCATTAAATTTAAGCATGTTTTTTAATTGAGTGAATATGCGTGTGTGGGTGTGTGTGTGTGTGTGGCCAACTTAAAATTCAGCTCAGTTTCTAGAGCGCTTCACAAGCCAAGTTTATGGACATAAATAGAACTAGCAGGGGCCAAATGATTAATTAATAATAAAGTTCATAAACTTCGAAAGATGACTTCATAGAAGTACATTCTTCTTCATATCTTTATAAGTATATATATATATATAAGTATATACACACATATTAATTGTGGTTTACTTTAGCCGCAACGCAATAATACGTAACACCATAAATGTATATATGTATGGGTATTCTTTTTTTTTTGCTGATAAACTACATTTTAATGGCTCACACAGTTCATTAGCCCCCGCCAAAGACGGATTCGCTTCGGGCCATTTGTATGTTTGCAAGAAATTATTGCCTTATAGGTAAAACTTAAATCAAACGATTTACAAATTAAGACAACAATAAGTGTTTAAAAGTTAGGATGACACCTCCAAGCACATTAAAGGGAAATACATGTTTACAAATAACACAAAGGAACTGCTGGAAAGATCTGACATAAGAAAGAACCGAATTCGTAGAAGATATCAATTTAGTTTAACCAAAAACTTGGACTGAATTATTTTTACTTATTATCTTATCTCAAAACGCAACTAAATTTCGAGTAAAAATTTCCATTTTAAAACAATTGTTAAATTGTATTCACATTTACAAAATGTTATAAGAGAAAATGGCGTATGTTTTATAAATTACATTGTTCTTAATTTTCAACCTATCTATAGATACAATACATTAAAAATGTATAAAAAGAAAGATACTTGATCAAATTTCGTGGCTCTACCTTTAAAACTAAGAGATTTGCTCAAAAATCTGGACTTCGATATCGATTCTTATCGATTGCTTGGAAACGGGACAATTTATCGAATATTAAATGCGTACCGTACGGGCACTAGGAGGATCCTTTAATTTTACAACAAATGATATTGTACAACAAAGCGACCTAATCGTGCTAAATATGAGCTCAGATACAAAACTTTGGAATAACATCTTGGTGAAATAGAAGTACCTCTAATTGCGTGTGTTGCGTAACGTAAAATTGTTGCTTGTGTAGAAAATACTATATTTATATTCATTTGCAATGACATTAATCAAGAATTAAAGCAAAACAAAAAAAAATAAATTTATAAAAGTCTTTCAATTTTTAAGTCAACTTTTAAAGAAACAGAGCAACATCATGAAAAGAATATCTGATACAACTTTATCATACTATTCTTTAAACACATATGTCATATTTTTAGTTTATATTCAAATTCTTACATATTTCCTAGACTTGACGTAGTTCGAAAAAAGGTCGTGCTTTAAGCTGCCTTTTGCAGAGATTTTCCGGCTGTAACATTCAGCACTCAAATTTAGTTTATAATATCTTTGGATCGATTATTTATCCAATAAAAAGATATTTTCTAACAATAATTATTTCCGCTTCCGTTCATAAACTACTTTGAAGAGTGCGGAAAAAGATTGAAACTAAAAACCTTGGACCGTTAGCCTTAAACAGCTGTTTGCGCGTAGAGTTTTTACTGTACCTGAGCAAAATTTCATTTCAATTTTCAATTTAAGCACTTTTTAGACAAATTATTGTTTAACAACCCGATGAAAAGCTCAAATAGAATCTAATTAAAATTGAGATAAATAAAAATATGTCTGGGCTGAACTTTGGGTATGAGTCAAAAGTAACGGGAAACTTATATATAGAGGTATGTAAGTTATATACGTAAGTTACGGCTAGATAAACACCTTGTGCTGCAGCTGATGATGCGATGCGATTCTCTCTCTCTTTCTGGCCTTTCGCAGTTGTGGCTGAGTTTGTTTGATTTTGTTTTTTTTTTCTTTGTTGTTGCACTCAAAACTTACGCGTTGTTGTTGTAATTTTGTAACTTCTTTTGCACGCGGACAGCAGCCTGGAGGGGAAGAGCGCGAAGCAGCGGGGCAGAGAGAGAGCGACAGCAGAAGAAACGCGTTTTTGGGCTTTTTTTTCGTTATATTATTTTTCTTGCTTGCGGTTTTGCTGACTTTGCAGTTGTTGCTGTTGCTTTCGATGTTGCTGTTGTTACTGCGCTGGCTGACGTGACGTCATTAAAATGCCGGCATAAACATAAAGCGCTGCGCAAAGCTTGAGACACAATTTTGAAAGACACGGCAAGACACTCGAACTATTCGTTTTCTTTCTCTTCCACTGACACTAAAGACAAAATGAAGCGAGACACACGCACAGAGCGAGAGCGAGAGGCACACGCACACACACACACACGTGAGACGTCAAAAATTGACAGGCAACAACAACAAGACAGAAAAAAAGTCGCGCTGCTTTGCTTTGTTGTTGATAAAAACACACACACAAAATTCTTTTATTTTGTTGACAGCTGTTTGTTGTTGTTGCTGCTGCTGCTGTTGAAACGCGCGCGATTTTCATAAAATGTTGCTGTGCTGCTTCTTGAATTGGTTATTAATGTTGCATAATTTAATGCTTATATTCTTAACTGTTTTTACTTTTCTTCCTTTTCCTATTTGCGTTGTTGTTTTGTTTTACGTATATTACTCAACACTTGTTTTGTTTGTTTCTTTTTTTTTAATACTACGGGCAAGGCAACTCTGCACGATTTATAAATTTCACACAATTTATTTATTTTGCTGTATTTATTAGAATATTTCTGCTCGTTATATTTATTTTGAATAGGTTGCGAAAGCGTTTGTTGTTGCTGCGTTTAGCTCTCATAGACAGAAATTCTAAAAATTTATCAACAATATGCGCACACACGTCCGCCTTGCTCGGTGTTGTTTTTGCTTCTGTTCAAGCGCTGTTATGGCGCTGTTATGCACCAAAAATTCCAATCGGCAGCCGAAGCAGCCACTGCGGCAGCCGCTCTTTTGCGCTCTCACGTTCTCTGCACGGTCTTGTTGTTGCTGCTGCTGCTGTTCGGTCTGCAGCGAGTCCAGTGGCAGCGGCTGTTGCTCTTATTGGTTTATTTAGCTGGAGTGCGAACAAGCGAGTGAGCGAGAGAGAGAGAGAGAGAGAGAGCGCAACTGTTAAATTAAGAGCGCGCAAGTGTTGAGCGTTTGCATCGAGCTCAATATTTTGGAGTGACTCTTGCAAGGGATTGAGTGTGTTTATATGGGGTTAAAAGCAGCTGACTTGACAGCTAGCTAAGGGTTAAGTAGCCAAAAGTGACCCGAAGGGGCTGTGGACAAAGCCAAAGGCTTCAATTGAGTTCGTGTTGAGACTCAGCGGCAAAACTACTCAAAAGTGCATGGAGTACCTAATTTGAACAGTTAATACAGTTAATATATTAAGCAGTAAACTTATTTAGCTTTTTTCTAGCTACGAAAATTAAGCTCTTCTATTTAGCCACAGAAATCTAAAGGACCTCAAAGTCACCTTCAAATTGGTTCAATATTTCAATTTGGTCTCGAAAAATGCACATTAAAATCAACTCATATAGTTTTTGGTATTTATAGCCATGCAATGTTTTAGTTTGACATTTCGATGGGTGCCCAAAAATAGCCCAAAATACAACAAAAAAAATGCTGAAAGTACCGTTCATTTCGGACATTTTAGTGCATACAAATTTTGACATTTCTATGTCATAAATTTCAAACAAACATACACACACACATCTACACATGCACACCCCCACATAGAAAAAGCCATAGAACGAGATGCCATAAAAAGATACAAACATAAATGTACTTATTTATGTATTATTAAAAGTGAATGTAAATTGATTAGAAAACCAATAACAACAAGAACAACAAGAACACCAACAGCTGCTGTAAGCTAACAGAACAAGCACAACTAACAACAACAACAACAACAGCAGCGCAACGTGAAAGCAAACATAGAAGAAAAGACGCGAAGAGAGCGCCAGCCACATCAAGTGAGAGCGAGATCAGAACGCCCCCGCAGTGCCCATTTAACACGGGCGCTGCTGTTGTTGTTTTTAATAGCATTAGAAGTTTCTTATGCATGTGTATGTGTGCTTATGCGTGTGAGAGTGCTATTTATAAAATGTTTTCGATATGGAAGTTTGCTGTAGTCAAAGTCAATGCGGCCGACCACATGGAAGCTGGAACGGCTGCTGCTCGAGGGCAAGTGAAAGGTTGCGCTTTTGTTTTTTTTTTCTGTTGCTGTTGTTGCTGTTTTCTAAGAAGCAAAGCTCGTATGCAGCTTGGCTGCACACACACAAAAACACGCACACATACACATGCGCTGAGCCACCTCTGCACTCATTCATTATGCAAAAGCAAAGCAGAAGAAACAGAAAAAGAAAAGAGCAGACGATTTTTACTTATCCCACTTTTGCAGTTGGGCACATGCCAACACACACACACACACACTCACACACGTACACATAAACTGGAGTACGGCGAAGCGACTAAAAAGTTTTCAATGCAAACAGACACACACACACCTATGGGAAGCTGCTTGGCCAGGCAGCAAAGAGTTCGAAATCGAAATCGAGATCATTTCGTTCGGTTAGAAACAACCAAAAATTGTTGAGAGAAGTTTCAGGTATAACTGGCTATTAACTGGTTTGTTTGGGCAAATACTCAATGACATTTTGAGCTGTGAACACTTTTTACAGTTATTGTGATAAATATAAAAAAACATGTTTCGTAGATTAAAAATTGCGGTTTATAAACGTAAATTCAATTTAAATTAAATATATTTATAGATCCTCCTCCAGCATATTTAAGCTAAATGCTAAATTTTGCATGCATATTGAAAAACTTCTTATTCATAATAATAAAAGACGCTAAAAATATATTACCAAATGGATCGGCTTTATATATAAAGTGCATACAGAGTCGGAAGAAGTTACTAATTATCAAAAATGCACTTAATAAGCGCTTAAGTGAGAATAATAGGAAAATATTTACAAATCATAAAAATATTTGTAGAATTTATCTCAGCTCCGTCAGTATCTGGTTTCCTTTTGATGATTTTAGGGGAATTCCCCAGACAGATTCTCTTTTACTTATAAGTAAAAATGCACCCAAGGCACTTGACAAGATCATTAACAACACATTTGTCGGTTGTGTCGCTGCGGTTCGTGCGTTGCGTTGTGGGTTGCTCAGGGGGTCAGTTGTAGATACAGATACAAAAATATACACAGACTCCGCACACACTTCACAAAAAACACGACTTGAGCTGTAGGCAAAGATGGAGACGGAGACGAGGACTGGGAAACCGGTTTCAGGCAAAATCAAAAGTTGCGCAGACGCAGACGCCGACGTCGCAGCCGCAGCTGACCGAACTGAAGTTCGGTATTGGAATTGAAAGCAGCGCACAGGCAGATACATATGTATGTATGCTGCTTGAGCGGGAGCGGTGGGGGGAGTGGGAGAAGGAGCACAAAAGCAAAGTTTAAGTTTCGCCCGCCGATCGCTGGATGCTGTGGAAGCTGTGGAAGCACAAAAGTAAATCACGCAAATGCTGACCGGCAGCCACTGGAACTCGTTTTGTGCTGCACCTTTTGTGCCTGTTCCAAGAACGTGTTCAAGGCTTTGCCAGGGTGTGTCTGTCCGCGTGTGTGTGTGTGTGTGTGTGAGTGTGCGACCGAAAAAGGAAAAGGAGGTCGCTAAGGTAGCGCAAAAAAACGGGCGCACAGGGATTGGTGCGTTAAAAGAAGCAAGAGAGAGCGCATAAGAGAGAGAGTTAGCGCACGAGAGGTAACGCCTCTACAATTCTAATTAGATTCTAACGGCAAAACGACTCCCGCGGCTAATGTAATTCAAATAAGAATGAATCTTCATTAGGTGACGCCTGACACGCGAAGCCAAAGAGACCGGCGAACTGTGCGCCTGCATATCAATTTAGCAACTAGATATAAAACAAAAGCCACAGCAAACCAGTTAAGAGAGAGACAGACAGACGTACAGCGAGAGAGAGAGAGAGAGAGAGAGAAGAATGAGCCCCACAAAAAAATCAATAACAGAACCAGACGAGACGCTGATGACGTCGTCCTCGTTGATTATATGCATGCACACACACACACACACACACACTCGAGTAATTTGTATATATGTGTGCATTGTATGTATTGCAATATGTGAGTCAGCTTCCAGACGCCACAAGATCACAGTTAATAGCTAGACAGGCATGCGCTCTTCCGCTCCCGGTCTGACGATCTTACACTGTTTCTCACTCTCTCTCTCTGTTAAAACTCTTGCGCCTACGCACATGTGCGCCAGTTCGACTCGAGACTCTCATTGGCTTTGTTCCGCGCCCCCTTAGAGAAAGATCGGCGAACAAGATATACTCAGCGTTGCGCTCTCAACGGCCATTGAGCGCCATTTGCGCTGCTCTTGAGTCGTTTGGGCTCGCTCAACATTTCAAGTGCTCTTTGCATGTGCGTGCGCCAGCTAAATGTATTAAGTGTTCCCAGTTTTATGTGAGTGAGTTTCAGCTCAGCTGAGTGAAAGATTCCATTTTGGCTTTTGTTCTGCACAGGAATTTTACAGTTGCGCATTGCATACTTTGAGGTGCTGAAGAAGGGTATTGGGAATACTTTTAATTATTAAAAGTGTAATTTGTAAATTGTTAATTAAATTTATTTATCACATATCAATTTAATTAAATAAATATAATATTAATTGGAGTTTTTTAAAATATAAAAAAAAAAGAGAGAGAGAGAATTCCCATCATCTGACCTTTCCTAACATTTGTATTCTGTCATTTTAAAACAATATAAAAGCTTTTGAAACTGATTAATAAAAAAGTGGAAGTTGAAATTGACCGGATCCCACGGTAAAAAATTGAGTTTTATATTTTCTTTAAATTGATTTTTAATTCATTATAAGCTTTCAGATATAAAACATCTGTTTACATACTGTTAAAGTGAGTTTCACATTTAACATTTAACAGAGTGATGTAAACTTATTTGCCTAACCTATAAATCTTTACCTTAATTTAATGAACTCATAGTAATAAGCCTTTCTTTGATGTTGGCTTTTATTTTATGTAATAAGTCTATATAGAAAGATCTATTTCCTAAAGAACTTTAATCTGTGATAACAAAAATTATGCTTAACAGTGTGCACTTAACAGAGCGCTGTAAACTTTCTTTAATGAAGCCTTTATTAATAAACGAACGTAATCTAAACTTATTGGGCTAAATAAAAAGAAGCTCCGTTCAGATTTAAATTAGATAATAACTAAAAGGATCTTTAAATATGCATAACTCATAAAGAGTTTCAGTAAAAAATAACTAAAAGGATCTTTACATATGCAAATAACATTAAAAGTTTCACTACAAATGTTAAAGTGAGCGCTGTTAAACTGCAGGAATTTCAACAAATTTAAATTATTTAAACTATATTTTTGTTTAGTGTTACATGGTTCGTTGTGATTCTGAAAGTTATCTTCGAATCAATTCGCATCCATTTCGATTCAAGTTGATTTTTCATTAGTTTTCCTTTCGCCCATTCCAAAAACGGATTTCAATTATAGCCAATTAAGCGAGAAAGGACTCAAACGAGGAGGAAAACAAATCAACTGCACTTACATTGCAACATTAACGGAAGCCAAAGCAGATGCTACCAGCTGCAGACAATCAATACCCTTTCCCGCAGCCCCAGCCCCTGCGCCCCCTTCCTCTACCCCACACACACCGTGTTGGCCCCCTGTTTGCACCTTGACTACGTTTTTTTGGTTGCCCGCCGGCAGCTCCGGCAAAGGATAAAAACTTTTTATCCACTTTCGGCGGCTCCTGTCCTCTTCCCTTCCCTCTGCCAGTCCCCCATTTCTATGCGCCAAATGTTAAAACAAACAAACAAATAAATTAGTGTTCAATC